CTTAACTTAAACATTTAAATGTCACTTCAAGCTGTATAGAAGTGTCTTGAAAAATATGTAGTCAAAAATTATTGACTGTCATCATGGCAAAGATAAAATAAATCAGTTTTTAGAAATGAGTAATTAAAACTGTTATGTTGAGAAATGTGTTAAAAAATCTTCTCTCCATTAAACAGAAATTGGGGAAAGAAATAAACAGGGGGGCTAATAATTCAGGTGGCTAATAATTCTGACTTTAACTGTACATTAAGGCATTTTTAAAATTGTTTTGCTTTCTTTTTACACTACACTGATTTATTACCAGAAAAAAATGGCTATTTGGATATATATATATATATATATATATATATATATATATATATATATATATATATATATAATCACTTATATAAGCAAAAATCACTTTTATAAGGGCTTTCAACACAGTTGTATGTCAGCAGTGTGTGAGTATCTCCAGCTTCTAATGCTGAACATGAATGAACTCTATTGTTTATAATCAGACTTGATATAAAGAGTCTGCAGAAGCACTTTGATTGACATTCTCCCTTTGTACGTGTCATCAGTAGAGGAAAGCCCCGCCCACTGGTGGCCATGTCTCCCTCGTTAGCATAGGACGATAGTCTTGCTTTTGAGTCTGCCACTATGCTGACACACAGGCACTTGTAGCTCCGCCCTCTTCTGAAAAGAGCACAATCTCATTTGAATTTAAAGCGACAGTCAACAAAACAACACAGTTACGATCAAAGCCTGAAAGGGTCAGTTTCAGAGAGCTGGAGAACATTATTAGTGTGCTATTTTGAGCTGAAACTTCACTACACACTCTAAAGACATCAGAGTATTTTTGTTTAACAAAAAGGGGCATAAAAGATCCTCTTCAAACTTTGCTGAAATGCAGTTTCAAAGTACAGTCGCAGGCCTTAAAAACATGTGCAACTGATAAAAATTCACTGAATTGTGGTGAAACTCTTCGGTGACCAAACGAATCTAATGTTCTGAACTGTAGCTCAACTATAATCCCTGTAATCCTCAGATCCTGCCATGTGACTATTGCAGATGTGCACATTGTGATTTCGATGCTACAATTTTGAGGGATTTAAACAATAACGATGGTCACGAGTGTATTCCCTGTTTTGCATTGTTGATTTCCAGCTATCAAGAACCCCAAAAGCTCCACATAGTGATAAATATGTTATGCTATCTTAGGGTATGATTGACTTGCCTCATTACAGTCATGAAATACAGTAGTTTGACGACAAGTAGGAAATATTCCTGGGTTAATGACATCATTGCATTGAAATGGTCTATTTTGTGCATCTCACTGTTTCAAATCTGTCCGTCTCACGTGGACCCCTCTCAGATTTCTAGAGACGTGGAAACAGGGGGAAAAAGTGCAGCTATTTTTCTTTTCAGTGGGAAGTTCCCAGAACTTCTAAAAGAGGGAGGTGAAAAGAGCTCCAAAGGTGTAATCAGAGGCAGAAATGAGAGGGTTTAAGTCCTGCTTACAGTTATATTTTTCCTTTTTGACTTTAAGCAGCCTCAAATCAGCGTGATCTTCCTTTGTCAAGTTTCTCAAAGCGCTTTTACCACAACAGAACCGGCTGTGATGCCAAACATGAAAGCATGCCACTAGGAATGAGACGATAACCAGGGTGTACCGCAGTTTGGAAAAGTCAAGATTTAAACCGGTAACATTTTCTGTTGTAGCATTCCTATTAGGGCTGTGCGGTTTGGGGAAGATATTTAATTGGGATTTTTTTTGACAGATGTTGCGATTGCGATTTGATTGGCGATTTTAATTTTGTAGTCAAGTTTTAAGTCGTGGCAACAATTCTGCGACAGCTCTTAGTGTAACCCCGCCGGTCCTATGCCACCCAACCCACTCCAAGCTGGTATCGAACCGGTGACCTTCCGCATGTTGGTCGGTTGCTCTAACAAGGAGACTTAAGACCAAAGCCTCTAGCGTCTGTCGCAAGAGGACCTTTAAAGATCAGAGGAGTGAGGTTTACCTGCACAGCACTGCACTAGCATGGCCTCTGTTACATTAGCAATATACCTCTCTTGTACAATATCCTGCCCAGCACTGTTCAGTCCTTATACACTGTAAAAATAAATAAAAAAGCTGTAATTTTATGGTTTATATCAAAAAAAGTAAAATAACAGCTGTTAAGTTACAGAAATTTACCATAAAATAGGGAATATTAAATTACAGAAATTTGCTTAAATTTAACTTTCTGGTAAATTTCTGTAATTCAACAGCCGTTATTTTACTGTAAATTTCTGTAATTCAACAGCTGTTATTTTACTGTAAATTTCTGTAATTCAACAGCTGTTTTTTTAAGGTAATTTCTGTAATTTAACGGTCATTATTTTACTTTTTTTTTCTGCACCACAGCTGTTGGAAATAAATTGTAAAATTAAGTTTTTTTTTTTAACAGTGTACTTGTATAGCCTGTCTTATGTGTGTAGTTAAGTATCATATAGTATAATTAATATATATATATATATATATATATATATATATATATATATATATATATATGTGTGTGTGTGTGTGTGTGTGTGTGTGTGTGTGTGTGTGTGTGTGTGTGTAAGTTCTGCATAGCTTATTTTGATTAGCTCTTATGTCCAGTGATGTGTTTGTATTTATATTTATGATTAATGTATGCAGCTGTCCTGCAAGAAACAACATTTGGTTCCTCGGTATGTCCACACATGTAGTGGAATGACAATAGAGCTCAACTTGACTCTTGACTTGAAAAAATACTTGTTTTTTTTTTTTTTTTTTTTTTGGTGTTTGTAACTTTGAAACCAAAATATTACCATATTACCTCACTGTTTTTCTTTGATATTAATTTTTCTATTAGTGCGTTTGAAGCACCAAATGCCATCATCCCAGTTGTTCATGCTTTCCTGTGTGTTTTTGTTTTTTATTGTGTATATATGTATTAGAACTGTACAATATTGAAAAAAATTGACATTGAGATTTTTTTCTCTGCGATATATAGTGCAATATAAATACAATTTCAAGGCAATTGAGGGCATCACGATGGCACAGTGGGTAGCACAATCGCCTCACAGCAAGAAGGTCGCTGGTTCGAGCCTCAGCCTGGTCAGTTGCCATTTCTGTATGGAGTTTGCATGTTCTCCACGTGTTCATGTGGGTTTCCTCCGGGTGCTCCAGTTTCCCCCACAGTCCAACGACATGTGCTATAGGGGAATAGGGTAGGCTAAATTTGGGCTAACCACTGCGCCACCGTGCCATTCATCTAGGAAATTAGTAGAAGTAGGTGTGGAAGGGGGGATAAACTAGATAAACTTCACACAACTATTTTATTTAGTTTTTATGGCAACAGTATCTCAATCAGAAAAGGACCATCTACACCAAAAGCTACCGGTCAGGCCACGATTCAGCAAACATCTGAAAAACAAATCACTTATAAAGCATCATCCATGAAGACAGCACAAGTCAAGGATTTATTTGAATTATGTAGCCAGACATGTTTACTGCTCCAAAATATTTAAAATGTTTCTTATAATCAATTATATTTTGTGTTCAATGAGGAGAAAAGGTTGTTTTTTACCCAGATATTTAAAATAAGAACATATTTTAGAGCAGAAATCCCAATTTCATGATATTCCTATGGTTATCATACCGTCAGAATCTTATGCATACCTACATGCAACCAAGCAAATATCAGCAAGAGGAAACCCACAGTTGTGCATCTATCAGCTTCGATTAACTTCAGCAATACATTTCTGACTGCCAGCGATGAAGCTCCAGGGTCAAAAGCAGAAGAGTCAACATTCGTCCTTGACCCAACTGAAGCGCATATTACTCAGCGTTACATCCTAGAGCCAGTCTCATCAGTGCTCTTGATTTTACATCGTACCCTCAAAGGCATAGCAGTCTCGACAGCGCTCTCAAACGTCCTTCCACACACAAAAACCCTCATCCCAAGTCCACTCCTCAACTTCCTTTACCTTAGGACTCAATCATAACCGGTGACATGAAAAGACAGCAGATTTAGAGAGCTGTCGACTGTGATCCGTCAACCCAGCGGCTCTCGAAGTCAACTTAAGTTGGAGCCGGGGACTACTGTATAGGATGTTAATCAGTGAAAACTAATCACGTTAACAGTACACAATCAATAAATGTCATGTTACATTTATCCAAAACCCAATGCGTTCAGGTTCAGCTGGTCTTTTACTCTGATTCAGAGATGCATTCTCAATAAGACAGACAGATTGACTCTGTGTGAATTGGCCATCAGAGATACCCCATTGTGACTGAAAATTAAATTCCCTATTAATCCTTTAATACGTGTCAAAACCAATTAACTTGGCTGTAGCTCATGCGACATCTTGTATTTTAAATATTCAGGCCGGCGCCAATAGCATGGTGGTTAAGTGTGCAGACAAATAGCACTCATGGCGACCCGAGTGTGATCTGTCTTTCTGTCCTGTCAAAATAAAAGTGAAACACCTCTAAAACATATTTAAGAAATAAAAGATTTAGTGCAAAGTCCAACGTTCCCAAAATCCCAGTATCGTACAATCACATGCAATTTTCTGTATGCATTTGTCAGTGAAGCCGGCTCTGCAATCAGCTGTACATCTCCAGCATACGTGTTCAAATGGATGAGTGTTTATTACCAAGACGAGAGGGGTCAGGATGCAGACCTGGTGCAATGCAATCTGAGCTGCATCCAACGCTTTGATGCTCAGTTTGCATCATAAAGGCTGCATCCAGATATACTATTGACAGACACATATTTTACAATATTATTTCATCATTTATTAATTTTCTATCTTTCATATAATAACATTTTTATTTCATATAATGGCATTTTTACTTAATTTAATGGCATTTTTACTTAATTTAATGGCATTTTACTTAATTTAATGGCATTTTTTAATTAACCTAATGGCATTTTTAATTAATTTAATGGCATTTTTACTTATTTTAATGGCATTTGTGCTTAATTTAATGACATTTTAC